CATGAAATAATTGCATGATGAAACGGGTACATGATGAATCTGCTTCGTGATCTTGAAGATTGTAATCTGCTCCAGAATCTTGAAGATTGTAAGGAGTAAAGGAAAGAATGCATCAAATTATGAGTGAAATAAAAAAATTAATTTATATGAAACAGGTTTCATGAAGATGAAACTGGATTGAACAATGAGTGGTGAACTGCTTTCATGGTGAAACCCGTTTCAGTGATAGTGTAGGTGATCCATTCAGTAGATGAAATGAAAAATGAAACGGATACATAATGTAGGCGGTTCGTCATGAAATAATTGCAAAATGAAAAATAAATTAGTTTCATTAATAATAATAAATGTTAACGTAAAAATAATAAATTACTTTACAAAAAATAGATTAGTTTCATTAATAATATGATATACATGATATGGTTTCCTTGAATAAATGAATATTTGGTTTTACTTTTTTGCCCTTATCGATATTATTAAATGTATTTTCAATTTTTTTTTATTTTTCATTTCCTTAAATAACCTTGATTAATCTTAACCATTGATCAAAAAAATGGATGGATGAGATTGGTTTACACGGTTTACACAAATGGAGGCGGTTTTTATTTGATCGCTCCTATATATAGGGGCATGTTCAAATGAAAACCGTGCATTTCTAAGAAACCGTGTAAACCAATTTCGACCAATAGGAAAATTCCTTTTTTTTCTAATTAAATTTAATCAATAAGGGTATTTTGGTCATTTACAATATTTTCTATTAAATATGGAAGTTATTAATAAATCTTGATTAAGAAAACGTAATAAAGAAAATTGTATAAATGGTAACATTTAAATATTTAATTATATTAAAATATTAAAAATTTGGATTTCATATATTGTCATGAGTTATAATCAGGAAACATGTGTTAATGAAACAATTGAATTATAGAATGAAATCATCAAAACGTAGATGAACAAAAAAAAAATCCACAAAATGAAACAAGTTTTATGAATGTGAAACCGGTTCATGTTGCAAAGAAATTAGGTGAACCGAAATATTTTTATGGTGAACCCGTTGCATTGATGGTGTAGTTAAATTTTTTTTTTATGAGATGCAAAATGAAACCAGTGCATTTTGAAAAAAAATTATGAAAAGGAAAATGAAACATGTTTCATGAACGTGAAACCGGGTCTTGTTGCAAATAAATTATGTGAACCGAAACATTTTCATGGTGAACCCGTTGCATTGATGGTGTAGTTGAGCCATTTTGTATTTCGCTCGTCATGAACGAAGTGCATGATGAAACGGAGAAATGATTTTAATCTGCTACATAATCTTGAAGATTGTAACCTGTTCCAGAATCTTCAAGATTGTAAGGACTAAAGGAATGATTCCATCAAATCGGTGGTGAAATAAGAAAATTAATGTACATAAAATAGTTTTCATGAAAGTGAAACTGGTTCATGACAGTATTGAGCCTGATAAGTGAAATGGTTGCATAAGTGAAACAATTTCATGTTGTATTATAAACTTTTATGAAGTCAGTAATCGATGAAATTTTTTTGTTATCTAAGTGCAACGGATCCATCTACCGGTATAATGAAAATTACGAAATATCATCAGTATTACGTGGATTAGTCTGTTGATTAAAATTTGAAACCAATTTCATTCATATAATGTAATTCAAAATTTAAAACGATTCACTCCATATAATTGTATATGATGTGTTATATTCATTTTTTTTTTGATTTGTTTTATTGATGGATGTGATTTAAAGTTAAAAATAATATATTGCTTTAAAAAATAAAAATAGTGTCATTAATATCGAGAAGGATGTTACCAAATGTTAAATTTTGTTTACCATTTTTGTCCTTACTGTTGAAATAAAATAAAATTTT